TTCGGAGTCGAGAACTTCCGTGGCAAGACTCTTGGTTTGACCGCAACTGACTGTCCCGGATCTGCCTCTTCTGGGTTAGCTCCGCAACTTCTTCAGTAAGAGGCCGAGCCAGCGACGCGGTCCAGCGTGGCGTCCCCCGAAGCCCACACCACACGAGAGCGAACCTGAGGGAGAGCCAGCATTTCCGTAAAGGAGAGGGCCGAGTAGCCCACTCATCCCGGACCTTGATGAGGTACCGCTGTCAACCGCGTCCCAAAACCTGACCCAGCCTTTCACGTTCGGAGGGGGTAGTCCCTCGAGGTACCGCGTCCCCGGAGGGCGAAGGAGGACCGAGGAGCGCGTTGCTGGCGCCCAACAAACCAAACAAGACGCGTAACGCCGACAACCAGAACCGCTGATTACCCCGTAGTTCTTGCAGCAAGGAAAGCTTGACGCACCGATTACCCCTGTTAAAAACCGTGGGGTTAGAGTAAACTCATGAGCTGGGTGCGCTAGCCCTTCGGACTTGGGACCCTAGGTAAGGGTGGTTTAGGCCCTAGTCCGATCTTGGGATTCCATTGCCGCAGAGGAAGCATGGGCAGAGGAATCGCTGCTAAAAGGTTCATTGCGCCGGACTAACGATTTGGTGCGGGGCCCGATCTCAAGCGCACTTGGATGTTCGGAATGTGTGGCCTATCCTGTATCCTGCAAGAGACGCCTTAACTGGCATTTGCCAAGGTCATGCCAGCGCTGCTGTTTACCACCTTGATCATACATGATGACCTTGCATTCTTGCCTAACAAGGATTCGCGAAATTGCGCAGGTAGCCAAAGTGGACTGGTCTGTCTAAATCATCACCGGGATTGCCAGGGTGATGAACTATGGATCCAGAGTAACGAGACAGATCGAGCCATTTACGTGCTAAGGCGCCAACGGAGACTGTTGACGGGAGGTGGTATCTCCGCCATGGGACTGAAAACTGAAAACTGGCAAGGGAGTTCGCGTCGCGATCTCAGTGTACTCGGTCAGCAGTTGGCGTCCAGCAGTGAAGACTGCATCCGCAGACAGGTTGGAGTTCTCAGGCCCATATCTCCACCTCAAACCATGAGGAGTTTTGAGCCGCGCCGTCACATCCGCCACGCCCGGAGATCAGATTTTGGAATTCGATCGGAGGCTTGGGCATGTTGAACCTGAGTTATCAACTGGAGTTTGCAAACACGCAGCATTGATCTAGGACTATACAAGCCTGGGTACGAGCATGTGAGACACATGCTTGTGGAAGCATTTGGTCGTGTATTGCAGTTCACCCGGGTTTGAGGAGGAGGTTCAGGGAGGAAATCTTCAATGCAGTCCAAGAAATTCTGGCTGAGGCATCTGCCTCAGCTGGAGAAAGACCAGGTGTTGTACGGATCTATTCCTATCTTGCTGGAAAGTCAACCTTTCGAACCGAAGGCCGAGCCTTCAATCTACTTGGCACAAACACGTGCAGTACCCCACTGAGCCCTGGTGCTGGTGCAGCGTTATGACTGGTACTGGGAAAGTCCAAGATGTGAAAGCGATTCGAGACTTGGGCTTAGATTTGGGAATCCTGATGGTTGAAGAACGAGCTTTGGGATGCAGTGCTCTTTTTGAAGTGGTTCTATTTGTTGGAATGGCATCTTGCAAAGACACGGTGTCAGGTGTGCCGAATACAAGTGGAGTGCCTCTTCCATAGCCGGATTCAGGAAAGGGTTATGTGGTGTTGTCGCATTCCATAGAACAGGAGATGCTACAAACTGAGGACTGAGGAAGGCCCCCGTCGCATCATGCGCCGAACATGAGGACGCAGGAGTCTTCTACAGGGAAAGCACCTTTGAGTGAGAGTTCCGGCAGTTGCTGAATGCCTTAAATTAAATCACAAACTCAACAGTCGGTACGCAAAAGAAAGGTGCGCTGGACGATGTCGCGCAAGACCCAGGCATGAAACCGGTTCCCAGCAAATAGGTTCCGACAAAGAGACCCATGGAAGATTCTGAAATCCTCATTGGCGACGACATTTATGGGAGCGTGGCCGGTTTGCTTGCGAAAGCAAGGAGGGCAAGGGTTCGGAACAAAGGAACTCAGGCTGATCCTGAAAACTACAGCTCGAATCCAGGTCAAGCGATGCTCAGATCTGTGGTGCCAATGATGGCGAGATGGTCAACTACGTGGACTTGCATGGTTTTGGATATCAGTCTAGGTTTCCTGAATGCCCCGCTAGACAAGGGCTACCTTCAACGCCCTATTCTCTACAAGCTGGGCTTATCCCAAGAGGCATGGTTTGGAGGGCATTAAAGTGATCACCAATACATTGACGCACGCAGTCTTGGACCATGGGGAGCACCATACACTGGTATGCCTCACTTTATGGGAACTTGAAAGCGGTGCCTGGGTCATACCTCAAGATGATGACACGATAGTGGAGCATTGATCATGTGTGTGGATGATGCTTTCATTGTTGGAGCCGGATGAAATCCCAGCGTCAAGATCTTTAGGATTTGAAGATCCAAGACATGTTGCGCACCGACCATTTGGTTTTGCAGGTTGGTGGGCAAGTGGCTTTGGAGGGAGAGACAATTCCCATCAAGTCTGATGTCACATGAGGCTTGTAGGTTGACCGCACAGAGATATCCCTTTTGCACCAAGGCGTCTGGCTACAATCGGAAATCAAGAAGCGGTCATGGCTGCATCTTGGAAGCGCTTTGTCAATGGTTCGCTACAGTGGCTTTGTCAGCGGACCAGACATGATCTATGCGCCGTAAAGGGATCACTGGCTTGGACTTTGCAAAGCGTGTATGGACGTATGTCAAGGGAACACTTGATTGCAAACTGTACTACAATTTTCATGCGACCTTGAATGACAAGCTGTTGTGCTTTGGAAAGTCCAGCTGGGCGACAGGAGCATCCTAGTCCCGAAGTGGCTACGGGCGTATTGGAGTGATCATCCCTTAGCCTGGAAGTCTTCATGGCAAACGGTTAAAGCTTGGTCGGCATTTGAAGATGAGGTGAATTCTTTCAACAACTCAGGTTGGGATCACACAAGGGGATGCTATCTCAGCTTTTGAAATGCGATGTTGATCCGACAACACAGCTAGTTCATGATGACGGAGCATTCCTAACAGTGCGAAACGAACATGTTCCGTTGGCATTCGCGTCTCTTACATAAGGGGCCAGGCCATCAACGAAGGACTCGATCTCCATCATATGAATTTCCAGCCGATGCCCCAATCAAGGTTTTGTGTAGAGGGATGCTTGAAGCAACTAGGCGCAAGATGGGCCTCTACGTTGCTTGTAAATTTACTCCGGGCTGCTGCCGAAGGAATAGTCCAGCTAACCCTCAGTTTTGATTTGACTCAAGCCCTCTCGGATCCTCGGCCTTGAAAGAAGAAAAGGGTGAAAGACCAGCCTCCGGGGCAGCTGGCAAAGAGCCAATATGGTACGCTAGGAGAGACCACTTGAGCTTGTACATCTGTCATGCGTTTCTGGGACTCTCCCTTCTCTGGGTTCACACGAGGAGGAGTGTTGGAGTAGGTGCCAAATGACACGCGCAAATCGAGTGCAGATGCATGAGCAGGAAGCCTGGGGCATGTGTCAAGGAACATATCGAGAAATGCTGTGGATTGGCGTTTGTTTGCGGATGTGAGGAGCCGAGGAGGTACGATTATCTGCAGAGGATGTACCAATGAGCATACGAAGGTCCTTACAACAGGTTTTGCCCAACCCTTCGCATTCCCGGATGTCAAATAGCCCTGTCCCCGATGATCGAAATTAGATTGCACGGCCTCGAGGGGTGCCTCCATTTTCACACATGCGGCTTTGACGTATCTGTCCGCCTCAGCCTGGAAACGATACAAGGGCCCGGGTTATCACACATCAGTCGGGGAGAATATGCATCTCCGCAAGTAGATGCTGCATCAGGGAAAATATACATCATTGGGGAAAATATACATCACGGGATGCAAATCCCCAAGGAGACGCTGTGTTTTGAAGAGCCGGACAGGAGGTGTACCTGCTTATGTTGCAGACGCTAACGTTTGCAGTACGTTTCGCATGCATTTTGGCCACCCTACATCAGCAAATCCCAAGGAGACGCTGTGTTTGGTAGAGCCGAAAAGAGTACGCAGACATGTCGCCTACTAGGGGATTTTGCATCAACACCGTCAACACCTGCGAGCAATACTGTATGTACTCGGGGATTTTCGACAGGAGCCTACATAAATACTGATTTTGATATGGGATTTCGCGACAGGAACCCGAGAAAAATCTTACATGTACAAGGGGGATCTTCCAACAGAAGCCCATCAAAATATTGTTTTGCTATGGGATCTCGCTGTAGAACCCCGAGAGAAGCCTTATACGTACTAGGGGGATTTTGTAACAGGAGCCTGCCAAAATTGTGATTTTGCTATGGGATTCCGCCATAGGAGCCCGAGAGAAATCTTATGTGTACCATGGGGATTTTCCAACAGGAGGCCATCAAAATACGCTGAAACCGCCGAATTGCATGTAGATGCTGTCATCAACAAGATTTTCCTGATTATGCTGTTAAGGAGTGGCCAAGCCCAAGACATGGTTTTCCCAAGTACTGTAGACGTTCAACCGATACATGAAAACTGGACCGATGTACGATAACCCTACCACTTGTAACGTGTGAAGCAGAAAGCAGCCTGAAAGCAGCAGCATGAACAGCATCACTGACCAATCTGCTCTCTCTGAATCTGAGTCTTTTTGCCGCTTGGCTTGGCTAAACTTGGGTAAACGCTTGGTGCTGGCCTCGACAGAGTCGGCTTCCGTGGCTTCCCGCATGGCTCAAAATGTCTCTTCCCATCCCGTATCAGGGCGCAGCACAGTTTGGCGTGCTGAGCTAAAGCATATCCGGCATAGAAGCATAGGCATCTGCGCTTCTGACTCAAGCTTCTAGATCCTCCTTCTTGTGCCGAAAAAGCTTGAAGACCTTTAGAAGACATACGAAAGAGAGAGCTCAGCAAAGCTAAGACCCAGACCGAGAGGATTGCCTGGAACAAGGCACTTTTAAGCAGTTGAAAGCCGAAAGCCTTGACAGCTCTGTTTTTAGCTGAGACAGTTTGGGTTTTCTGTTGTGCCTTCAAGTGGACGTTGGCCTTCTCCAGCTCACTTGATTCGCCCATGTCACAAGCCTCCTCGGCCTCTCGAGGCTTCAATTAGCAAAGCTTCAGCAGAAGCAGCCCCCAGCAGCTGTTTGTAATTTGAAGCAGCGCATGTGCCGCATCTGCCTTTCTGCAGTACAAGGATGCTGCGAGCCGGCGGCGGCGCAGATTTGTGGGATCCTGACCGATGTCCAGCCGTGCATGCTGGGCCATGCGTAGAGCTCCCCCCCCCTAAAACCACCACCACCCCTCTTCAAAACAACACACACACCACCCCCTTCCCCCCCGCAACCACCATCCCTTCCCCAAAACCACCCTCCCCCCCCCGCCCTCAAACCATAACCCCAAACCTCCCCCAAACCTCCCCCTTTGTTGGGTTCTTCGAAAAGACGGATCGTCGGCTCCTGCCGGATCTGCCGCTCCAGCGCCGCCAAGCGCAGGTCCTCTTTCTCAAGAGCTGAGAAGAAAAGGCTTTACACGGCTTCAAACAAACAAAAAAAGGAGGAAATCGCGTTTCTTTCATTTCTTGAAGGCTTTCTTAGAAAGAGAATCGCTTCTTCAAAGGCCCCTTAAACCTCTTCAAATTCTTGCCTGCGCCCAGTGCCACCATCCACGCAGGACCTCGAAAGAGTGAGATTGCTGTGCTGCCGTGCGAGAAGCTGCTTCGAATAAGCCAGCCTGCCTGAAATTGGCGAGTCATCAAAGGAGAAAGGCACAGCCAATGGGCTGAACTTTTCCCCAAAATAGTTGTTTGTTGCTTTCCGTTATGCTGACTAAGTGCTCTGTGCCAGTTTTTGCCTGCCCTCCCTGCCCTCTCTCTCTCTCCCTTCCTTGAGTGCAGCTTGCATGCCATGTCCTTCCCTCTCTTCCTTGAGCCAGGACTTCAAGAAGGCGCAAGGACCAGACATCGGACATCATCAACTGACCACCTTTCAGGGTAAAGACCTCTCGGCCTGTGGCTTACCCGAAATCCAGCTCGAGTGAATGAGCCGTTCCTCCGGATGCTTCGTCTGAGGAAACCTGCCAAGATGCCGAGCCACATGCGGCCACAATATTCGTTAGAGTCTTTTTGTCTCTGCGATTCTGTGCGCCTGTGCCTCGCCAGGCTACGCGCCAGGCTCTTTCGGGGCAAAACCCCTTCTTGAGCATTCGCTCCCTCCGAAGGCCTCGGCAAAAAGGAGAAGTCCCTGATGCCTTGAATCAACCTGAGTTCACTGAGTTCCAAGTTCCAAGCTTGCTCGGCTCCCAATTTAGCCAATCGAGGTCATTGACTGACAGCGACCATGCCATCTGGATGTAGCTTGAGCCTTCGAGACTTCCTTCAAGTCGGAGAAAACAACGTGCCGTCTACGAGCTATGCGAGCTATGCTGATATACCAGGCACCGTCTGTCGCACAGTTGCAACACTTTTGCACAACTTTTGCAACACTTTGGCATTCACACCGCCTCTTGCCGTGCCCAAGCTTCATTTTATGGCCCGCAATGCATACCTGGCATCTGGCAAAGCGGAAGTGGCCGGAAAAGATACGGCACCCAAATGCAGCGCACTTGTGAGTGCTCACCAAGGCAGCCCAAAGTCCAGACACGCAAAACGCCAGCTCAGACCTTCAACACTTGAGATGGCAAGCAAACTTGGCGTCTTTGAGCTTGAGTGCCCGGCGCAAAGGGGAGCTCACAGTCCCAGAAAGCCTGCAGCATCCGTTATTTTTCCCTGTATCCCAATGCAAATCGTGCGATATCATGCGATCCTTGACCAGATCAGCCACGAACTTGCTGAGCTCCAACTGCGCCTTACATGGATGCAATACACCCTTTCCATCACACCTTGACAACTTTGACAACCTGGTGCTTGTTTAAAACATGAGCCGCGCGACCAAGACTGCCTTCCGCTGCGTTTCGGGCCCGGAAGCGGATGCCATGGAAGCTGAAGCCTTCTCCTTCGCGCGGTCCACTTTTTTCTTGGTGACCAAGATTTCTACGACGGCCAGAACCAGCTGACACCAGTTCGCATAATACCTGAGATGTGAAGGTAGGTCGCACATCTCACCAGATCTCAGACTCCAATCACAACCCTATGAGCTGGCGAACTCTGTTCGTGGGTGCAGCGTACCCTTCCGCAAGATTCCGAGCTTTTCCAATGATGTCCAGTCCTCGAGCGCAGGCGCAGCACAGCTTTAGACAGATCCGGGTAGTTTCCCCTCGCTGTAACTTCCGAAAATCCAGATCCTATGACGGACGTCAGATAGGTAACAAACGGCGCAGTCGTGTAAATCAACACGAGTGCGGAATGACTGCCCACCTTTTGCCAACTGCGGTTAGATTATGAACGCCCCAAACTTTCACAGTAGCCGAACCAGAGAACCCACCAAAGTCCCGTGAGTACCACATTTCTTTTCAGCTCTCTCGCCTAATCTCCCTCTCTCTCTGTCTCTCTCTCTCTCTCTCTCTCTCTCTCTACGACTCTAAGACAGCACTTATGTCCACAAAAGCGTGCTCCGCACAACAATCCACCCAGCCACGCGCCCGTCAGTCCAGTCCAGCGTGATCCAGCCATCTCCCTCCAACCCTGCATCCAATTTACTGCGTTCCATCCACACCCCACACTCTGGACATTCTTCAAGGTGCACGGGCAAAAAAACCAATGAACAGGAATCTGAAGACGTGCTGCTGGCAGAGGCTTCTGCAGCGAACAGCATGGTCATTCAGGTCAGCTCAGTGGGAGAAAAACCTGGCCGCTGTATCGTGAGGATCCTATATGAAAACTATCGTGCAAGCCCCAAACACGCTCTTCCCTTCTATGCTTCCGGGTATGAAACGAGAGCAGAAAGCCAGAGCATGCCGCAGCCCAACAACCAGCAACCAACCCAACCTCCTTCAAATGTGTGCAAACGTGCCTTCATCCCCCAGTGGCCTGCGAGGCCTTTTGCGGCTCGCAATGAGGCGACTTTTGAGCAAAGGCTTCTGGTGCTGATGCGTGACTGGAAGGTCGAAGGGGCGCGCATGGGTGGGGAAGCATCTAGTCACGCAAACGCAGCGCAAACGCAGCTGAGCTTGAAATGAAAACCACACAGTGAATTTGTGAACACAGCTCATCGCAGAATACCATGCGCTCGGTGCCGCTCAGCTTTAGAGGTGCATCCGCACTCACAACGGCCAGGCCGGAGTTTGGACTTAGGGCAGAGCTCAAATTCGCAAACCTCAGGATAGCCCAATCAGATGAAGCTAGCAGAGAGGTCTCTAAGACTCGAAGCTCAAATTCAGATGCGTTTCGGAAGCTTCCCCCAACGCTGTGGAGGGAATGTTGAAGGCTAAAACTAGCAGGCCTGTCTGGGGCCTGGGCTGAGAAACATGCGGACTTGATGAGAGGCCATTGGGTACAGAGGAGCGAGGAACGGACCTCCAGTGATGCTGATGATGCTGTCCAACATGTCGGAAGGGCGGCCAGCATCATCAACATGGTTGGGGTCCTTGCGAGTTTTATGATGGGCTACATGGTATAAAACTGTGGATAGGAGTCGTGATGGGTTCCAGGGTTTATGATGGTCTCGCACGGGTTTTATGCAGGCTTTATGGGCTTTGTGTCTTGATTTTCGTGGATCCTCTGCAGGTCTGCTTGTACCGGCCTTTGCTTACTCTGCGATGTATGTGCCTTGAGCATGCTTCGCTCCGTACCTCTTGTGAGGCGGTGTGGGCTTTACAGCATCGGCTTCCCAACTCCGGGGTTCCTGGGGGTTCCTGGGCCCGTATTTAACGTAGACTCACTTCAGTGGTCTTGGGATTTTTTCTCCTCCTTCAGCTGCCCCTTCCTTCCTCCTGTTTCCTGGCTTGAATGTTGCAAAGGTTGGTTTTTGCATCAAGTCAGGGCCTGCTAGGGCCTGCTCTGCGGCAATCCCAAATGCAATTGAGCACCTGGAAGGGTTCTTATATCTCGATCGCCATCTTTCCCTCATCATTTTGCGCCGTTTGTTCAAACAGCAACAGCACTATGCAGCTGGTACTCTCAAGGCAATCCTGGCGAATTCTGTTCAAGCTGCTGTTATTTTCGACAACACAGGCCTCGCCCTTCTGTAATCAAGGGGCACTTGAGAACTCCTCTCACATGTTTGAAGCTCGCTCTGCTTGGGCACACATTCGCCGACGATTTCCTTTGGCATCTGACGCACAGCTGCCAACATGCACTCGCTTCACAGGCATCGCTTGCCTTACGGAGCAGAGTTTGCACTTTTTGCGGCTTCTGTATGTTCCTCAACCGGCTTTACCTGCCGCGGATGCCCTTCACATGCGTAACATAGCTTTGGAAACCCAACACCGGACGGGTTTGTCAAACTCTGTATCGCCGGATACGGTCCAGAGCCGTTCCTTCCGCTTTCGGCCCGAGCTGGGTTTTGTATTCGGTATTGTAGGGCCCCTCAGCCCCTTAATTTCGCTTCCAGGCTTTATGGTCCCGAACAAAACATGGTTCGGGCTATACTTCTTGCACTCTGCGTTTCGCTGGACGTGACCAGCGTGATCTATTCAGGCCTCGTGCCCTGTTGTAATTCAGTTTTGGAGCTTGGTCACTGGCTCCTGTGCTAGGCCTAAGGATCGGGATGATGTTGATCTTGTTTTGCGTGCCCGCAGCGCTATCTTGATTCGCAATTGTTGCGTCCGTGTTGTGCTCTGGCAAGAGCCTAAACAATCCGCCACCTACCGTGCAGACCTCGGTGCTGCTTCTGCCGTTGCCAATGAGCATCTTGATGCCACTTATGTCGCTGCTCGCGCACAATATACATCTCTCTCTCTCTCTCTCGCGCTGTGTGTGACAGGCAGCGCATGTTGCTCTTGACCGCACCAGGGTTGCCAAGGAGCGCCGTCTCCTTACCTTTGCCAAACCTTCGGGACCATCATTTCCTCCCCTGCAACGCGAGGTTTCTGACGACTCTCCTGAATAGTTCGTTCATGATTCCCAATTTCGTGGACTCTTTAAGCCGTTCTCACGTCCTCCGTTTTACTGCGGGGGAATTTTTATATAGGGCCCTTGTTTGGTAGGCCTCCTCCCTTAAGTGGCCTAATGCCCCCCTTGACTCCACAAAAGGTGTACCCTATTTCGAATTCGCCATGGATTTTGAAATTGTCTCTGGCACTTTTCTTCCTGGTAGCGCTAAACGTGAGAAACGCTCAGATGGCTCTCCTCAACGGCGAGGTGCTTCCCAGCACATCCGCTCTGTGTTTGATGCAAACTCACCACCGCAAACCGTGCTCACGCATGACATTGTCCGGGTGGAGTGCCCTGGTAAGAGACCACGATTTCAATGTTTCGTCTGCTTGCGTGGTCCATACTTGGGACATCTTGGGACTCTCGTAATCGGTTTTTCTAGGTTTCTTGCGCCGGCAAAAGCCGCGCAGAGGCCGCGCTGCGCACCGCAATAAATCAAGTGCCCAGTTCAGATGCCAATTTTTTCGCAGATCGCTTTCGCAGTGTGTTTTCTAAATATGAGCCTCTGGCCCTTCCAGTGTTGGACACGGCTATTCGTCGCATCTGGCCTGCTCAGGCCCACCTTGCTTGCACAGTCCCGTGTAACCGAAACCGAGATTCCTTGCAATTCTTGGAACTTTCTTGGCTTCTTGGGCCGATGCCTTGCGATGGTATTTGTCTTCCCTGCCTATGACAATGACTGACCGCAGCCCTTGTGGCGCTTGCGTGAGCCCGACTAGGACCCTTTCCTGCTTGTAGGTCGTAGGGGGCTTTTTGCCAAGCCCTCATTTTCGGGTTTAGCGCGCGTGATTGTCATGAAGATTCAAACATGACTGTACGCGGGCTGTTTTAAGGCGGGCCGATGGAATTGCGCGGTCTCGGCCATTGGAAGAAGGGGTTTTGCAAGGCAGCAGATGAGCCACAAGCGAGGTTGAAAAGTCATTGCCCCAGCTCGGTTCAAAACAAGTTTCCGTTTTCACTCCAGCTCTGCTGTGCTGACAAATTCACGGCCCCTTTACCAGGCCGAGTCTGGCTTACTTCACAGGATGCGGCTCCAGAAAACTGCATACCGTGTGCCATCGCTGACATTCTCGGAAAACCGGTCGCTCCAAGCCCTCGCAGCTATCTGGCTGCTATGACCCTGCCGACTGCAAGGGCGGAGCACGTTGAAGTTGTAATTCATCAAACGCAGCAATACGGAGCAGCCAGAAATGGGACAGCACACGCAGAGGGGTCTGAACCTGCGTTAGGCAACAGCGCACCATAAAATTCCACAGCAACACACGTGTGAGAAGAATGCGTGCATGTGCTCGTTGTTTGTCGCTCATGGTTGCAGGCTCTGCATGGTTGATCGAAAGCTGGCTGGACGCACTAAAACACTCAACTGACCACATCGTGGTATGAAAGTCATGCGGGAAACGCCTTTGGCGACACCCGCAAACAGACCCGGTCCGATCCCAGAAGCCTTGGGCTTCTTCCCGCCAAAAGCTGTCCTTTCAAACGAACTTGAACCAAGAACCAAGGAAAGCCTTCCGGGTCCTTGAAACTGTCAACAGTTTTATGCACCAAAGAATCAGGAAACCCAAAGACCCACCGTGTCTTTGTGCGGTTGTGGGCCCTTCCCAAACTTGCAGGTGCGAGCTTAACTGCAGACTCCTCGAAGAAGACATGTGTTACCAAGTGTTCAGCCAAAAACAAAGATCAAATAAATTGAAACTCCGTCCATCCTCGGAGATGTCTGCCACGAGATTCGCCAAGACGTCCAGGAAGAGCAACGAGCGAAATGCAGGATCCCTCAGCAGGCTCGAATGTCAACGCCCAAGCTACTTGGATCAGGCAAGGATGAGGAGGCTCTGTTTCTCTCAGCGCTTGGCTTTTCTTCTCTCGCTTCTGCCAGGTCCTCGAAGTGCTTCATGAACCTCAAGAAGCAGGGGATGCGGCGAAGCCAAAAACACTCCCTTCACAAACTGAAAAATAACAGACGTCTTCCAAGCGGCAACACACAAAAACACACCCAGGTGTTCCTAAGCCTGCGTGTCATAGGTCGTACAAGTGATAGCTAGGATGTAAAAAGGCGACTGGGTGATAATATTGTAATTCCATTCCAGAATTGAAGCCCTTGCTTCGCACGTCCTGTTTTCCTTCACGCCTTCATCAAAGCTCTGCTTGGTCGACGATGTAAGCCAATTGCAAACGGCGTATAGCTATTTGTTCCCACTGCCGATGTAGCTACGGGGGGGCTTGAGCCAAATAACAATTGACCATACCAAACAACTTGGTCGACGGGTCATAGAACGCCG